CTCGGAGAGCGGCGTGTCTCACGGCCGGCCACCACCCGATAGCCTTTGCTCTGTCTGTGCCTAGATGTGCACCTTCCTCTGGCCCACCCAGCCGACCTAACTCACTTATTTACAAGCACCAATGGGGGTGGGGGGTGGCTTGCTTTGTGCCAGGCACTGGGGACACAGTGGAAAGAAAAACGCCCTTCCGCACCCATGGCAGAACCATCCTAGGAGAACACCTTCTCCTGTCTGAAAATGGGACATTTGAAAATACTGTGTGACTTGCTTTCTCACTTTCTCCTTCTTTCTCTCTCTCTCTGCCAGCCAGGTGGCATGGTGACTAGGACAGCTGTATCCCATGTGGCTGACCGCATGGTTCAAGTCCTAGACTCAGAGAACTGGAAAACACACTGGGCGCATGTGTATGTGCTCTCCTCCTAGAAAGGAGAGTGAGAAGAGGGGATTGCAGCGCAGTCATCTCCCCCCAGGGGGCGCTTTCTCACCTTCTCACTTCCTGTGATGAACACAAGCACCCTGTGGCAATTTAAATAATAATAATAACACATACATATATACTTGGTGATAAAAACTTACAATACAGACATTCATAGAGCAAAATGAAAGATTCCAGTAATCATGTCGAGATGTAACTAATCTCCATTAGCAGTTTTTGTGTCTTCTAGAGCTTTCCTTTTTTTTAAAATCTTTTTCTTCCTTTTAAAAAAAAAAAAAAAATTAAGGTTTTTGCCACAGGGCACATGCGCTTACCGAGAGAGCAGCAGAGACAATGAGAGGAAAAGGGAGAAATCACTGATGGCCATGCCCGCAATCTCTTATCCTCTATTCTCCTCCTGGGATTTTGGCCTCCCGACACACACCTGGCATGATTTTCAAGCCACCAGGTTCGGGACTCCCACCACACAGTCAGCTATGTGGGATTCAGTGCCTTAACCATCACGCCATCTGCTGACCCCTCCTAGGTCTTTCTTTTTATTTTTTTTAGAATTCTTTCATTTAATTTTATTTATTATTACTACTTTTTATTTTGACCAGAGAGAGAGAGGGAGAGTGAGAAAGCAAGCTGCCAGGTCTGGGACTCAAACTGCCCAGTGAACCATACAGGAGTTGAGTGCCCTAACCAGCATACCACCTGCCAGCCCTAGATCATTCTTTGTGCACCCACAGGCATCCTCTCTCTGGCAGGGGATTACACTCTACATGCTAGAGTCTCTATTTCTTTTCACTTGGGTTTCACTTTATGTTAAATAATAGACTTCTACCACAATTTTTTAAAATCTCCTATAGAATATTCCACGTTAAGTAGGAACCATCACTTATGTCCATAATCTCTTCTTAGCAGAACTGTAGTTTGTTCCCAATTTATTTCTGCTCCAGACAATGCTAGGTCAAATGTCTTTGCCTGCTAGTGCTCTGGTTGCTAATATTTCCAGTGTCTCTTCACTTGGGAACTGGTAAACCCGGCATAGCTTAGATGTCATCTCCCCGAGTGGGGGCCACTTTATATCTCTGTTCTTACCTTGCAGGCTCTGCCCATCCACTGCACGTAGCTGATAGGCCCGTCAGCCTGTACCAGCTGGCTGATGCTAGAAGGTCGCTGTGTACCCGACCCTGGTACCTCCTATGCAGACTCATTCCCTGGCTCAGTGTTGCTGTCCTGTGGTTTCTTGAACAACGCACACACAGAGGCCCTTCTCCTTTCCCCCTCCTCCACCCACCTGTGCTTTACTGAGAGTGGTCTAGAGGGCAGACACCATTCAGGTTAACTCATTTTTTCCTGAACGATCCTATGAGATAAGGTACCTCTCACTGAAGATAGAAAACTGGAGTTTTGATGAAAAATCATACAGCCAAGTAAAATGGCGGAGTCAGGATTCTGACCTAGCTCTGAATTACTCCAAAGTCATGCCCATTGTCACAAAATGGACCTCAGGGGGACTGGAAATTTCCGGCGTAGTTCTCATTCTCAATGTTCCAAGATGCATGGAACAAACGTCTCTCTAGTAGTAATTTCTAATACACAGAGAAACAACATAAATACCTTAAAAATAGGTTCTAAGTCTTGAATGTTTGCACCTCAGAAATTTCACATTTAATTAGAGGAGGTAGAGGACTGAAGACTTTCAAGTGTTTTTAAAACATTTTTTAGAATTATTTATTAAATTAAATTATTATTATTATTATTTTCATTTGCTGTAGTCACCAGAGAGAAAAAGAAAGCAAGAGAGAGATGGAAAGTGAGAAAGCAAGCCCCCAGGTCTGGAACTGAAACTGCAGTTGACCACATGGGAGTCCAGTGCCTTAACCACCATGCCACCTGTAGCCCCAAAAGTGTTTCAAAGGGAAGCTGAGAGGACATTCAAGGCCTTTAGAGGTCAACAGTTGAGTTCTTTTGTTTTAGGTTTTTTTCCTAATTATTATTTTCATTGTGAAAAAATAAAACCACTCCTAAGAAAAATTTCTAACATGTACACATACGTGCTAGTTAAAAACAGAACACTACAGGGGCCAGCAGGTGGCATGGTTGTTCAGAGGCCAGACTCCTACATGGCCGACTGCCATGTGAGGCCCAAACCTGGCAGCTTGAAAATCACGACAGGCATGTGTGCGTGTGTGCCCCAAATCCCCAGAGGAGAACAGAGAAGGCATTTCAGTGTGGCCATCCTCCCTGGGGGAAAGGGCGAGTTCTTACTTTCTCTCTGTCTCTCTCTAGCAAGTGCATGCACCCTACGGCAAAAACCTAAAAAAATTATTATATACCCAGTGCCCTTCCCTGATCGCATGGCATCGGTTCTTCACCACGTCTGCCCTTCTGTAATGTGTCCACGGTTCCCTTCACTTGATACTGTCAGGACTGTTTCTTCTTTATTAACTTTGATTAGAATCATTCTGGTGCTTTGTGCAAGAACAAATAGAAAGAAAAGGGGAAACTATTCCTGTGATGCTAGGGCAAGAAGCAGGAGGAGAAAGGAGATGATTAAAGAGGAAGGCTGAGGGCTAGATGGTGGCACAGCAGAGTCACGACACCCTGCAAGGCTGAGCCACTTGTGAAGGTTCTGGGTCCCCTCTGGAAACATCTCTGGGTGTCAGGCACCTGTGTGCCCCTGACCTGTGGCTGGCAGAAGCCAGGGCTGGGTCATGGTGTCGAGACTCTGTTGGGTGCTGTCTCTTTGTAACTCTGTCTCTCTCTCACTCTCATTAGTAGGAAAAGTAAATAAACTGAAGGACAAAAGAGGATGGACGGATGAGTATTTGTGACACAGCTTCTTTCTGAGGGGAAATGAATGCAGAGAGATAAAAAGGAAAACACGTGGAGAAGGGCGCGATGTACCCTGGAATAAAGAGTAGACGCCGGCAAAGAGGGGGAGCCATCGGGCTTATTGGTGGGCGGTTTAGCTGCTTTCTGGAGCAAGTGAGGAGGAAGGGAGAAGGGAGGCCCAGGAGGGAGAGGGCCATCTGGAGATGGGCCTGTCACCAGTTTAGAGAGGCATCGTCTGGGAGATATCTACTAGACTGAAGTCCCAGAGCGTGTATCTCACTTCTGTTCTGAATGTGAAAAGATCGATGCCCAGGCATCATTTTGTTGCTGATTTGTTATCGTTTTTAACCAACATAAAGTGTTACGTCAATACTGAGTATGTGTTGGAGCAAAGAAGTCAGCGATGAAATACAGTAGTGGGAATCCAAGTTGTATTTTAGGAAAAAAATAAGAAGTACTGCCAATAATTTAGTAGACTAGAAATGACAAACAGGACTTGTAACTAAAGATTATCATTCACTACATTTATCAATCCCTAGAGTTGACATCACTTTCTTTTTTTTTTTTTCCCCCAGGAGCCTCGCAAACAACAATCTCCAAACACTCCCGAAAGATATTTTCAAAGGCCTGGATTCCTTAACAAATGTGTAAGAGGAATTAAGCAATCTCTGATGAATTAATTAATGTGCAGTTACTGACAAGGAAGCCTGGTTATCAATCATTAGAATTTTTAACTCGAGTCCAAACTGGTGGCACAGCTGGTAGCAAACTGAACCACAATGCTGGAAGCCACTTGGCCGCTGTGGGTTTGGATCTCCAGGTTGGCCTAAAAATATATCAGGTGTGCACATACTTGCCCCAAATCCTGAAGAGATGGAGGGCTTAGGTGACAGGATCACAGTATGATGGACCCTGGTAAGGATGCCTCTCTCTCTCCCCCTTTATCTCTCACATGCATGCGTGCAATCTCTATTATGAAATTTATATGCACACACAGTTTTTAATTGGCTTTAAAATTCAACTGGAACTTTTCATTTTAATTTTTCCTCTATTTACGATAGCGTGCATTCGCACACACACACACAAGAGAGAGACAGAGAGGACCACAGGGTCTGGTCATGCCACAATCTCCCTCCTCCAGTCCTCCATCCCAGAGGATCCAGGGCACTTGTGCATGTGCCCAGTGTGTCTCAGGCCAGCAGGGTCAGGAATTTGAACCACGGTCGCCATGTGGGATTCAGCTGCCCTTGGGCAGCACATTATTGCTGTGTCATGGAGTCAGCCCTACATTTTAATTTTAAATTGGACTAAATTTTAAGTTACATGAACTAATGTTTGGGTCTCCTGTAATATCGACCACTGGCAATTCTGAATGCGCAGTACCCAGGCATTCCTTTGAGAGCATGTCTGTTGGTCTGTATGGGAGGGAGTGATGAGAAGGGACTTTGAGGAGGTGGGAGGAGAAGACTTGGAGAGAAATTTCAAGATCCCTTTTTTCTCATGAGGTCCAGGAAATGGAGCTACAAAGGAAAAACATAAAGAAGTCTGGGAAACTGACAGAGTAAAGATGAAAGGTTACACCCAGGGGTTGGTCAGTCAACAGAGAAATGGAGAGGAAGTGGGGGAGGGCAGAAAGTTTGCCCTTTCTCTCATTAGACTGAACAGCAACTCTAGGCTTAATCCCCAGGAATTTGGCTTAAGCCCCAGGAAGGGAATGAACTTAATTATTTTTGACCCTTTTTCAAACAAAAGAGCTTTCAAACTTTGACTTTTAAGCCTCAGAGTGAAAGATCTGTGAAAGGAATTTGTATATTTTGCTGTAAGCAAAGCAAGTAATATATGCCTAACCCTCCAAAGCAATTTAGCCTCACTAAGTGCCTTCCAGAACATTAGGAGGGGATTTAAATGTCTTAAGGTGGAATACAGGAGCAAATGAAAAGATATATGAAAACGAAAGATGTTTTTATTATTCAGGGATATTGCTATAGAATATATGCTCAAAATAATTTTTCTCCAATAACAGAAAAATTGGAATCAAGTATTTTCTTCTAAGGCCAGTATTGACCTTCAAGTCAAGAAGCTAATGAAAACCTTTCTTTGTTCCTTGCAATAGTCCCTCAGCCCCTCCTCCATTGCCCTGATTCTTGAATGATGGTTCATTTCCAAGAGAGTGCCAGGATTGGGACCCTTCCAGGACACAGCCTGATAGAGCACAGTTATCTGCTCTGGGTCACAATAGCTCAGGAAGGTTGGCAGTCATTATTTGGGGTCAGAGTGCTCTTGGGAGATGGATGAGGTCAGTCCTGGGAATATCTTGGAAGTTAGCGAACGCTCTGCGGCAGACTTGGGCTGTGGTTCCTCGGAGGCCCTTCCGCCCATCTCTGTGTCAGTCTGTACTCCCACACTAGTAGAAAAAAGCAAAACAACAATCACACACACACACACACACTTGAAACGCTCCGTCTCTCCAGAAAATCCCATTATGAGTTTGGCCTTGTGGACCTCTACAGACATGCCCAAATCAAGAATGATCTCAGAAGTACAGGATCCATGCCAACTTATTTTTTAGTAGATGTCTTGAGTTTCTTAAATGTGGCTCCTGGAAAAAAGAAAAAAGTTTTAAGGCTTGGGCATTTAAATATTAGTTATATGCAGGCCAGTCAGTGGCATGGCAGTTAATGTGGGTAAATCCCCCAGGGCCCACTGCACAGGTCGAGTGGCCTGGACCTGGTCACTTAAAAAACACACCAGGCGCATGTATGCACATGTCCAAAAACCCGAGAGGAGAACTGAGGAGAAGGGATTATGAGACGGTCATCCCCCGTGGGCGGTGCTTTTGCACTTTCCCTTTGTCTCTTTCTCTCTGTCTCTTTCTGGTCACTACATGCACCCTATAGCAAACTAAATAAACAAAGAAATAATAAAAGTCAACAATGACAAAAAAAAGTTATGTACTGTGTGAAGAATGGGCAGCATCTATTTTAGGAATTACGTGTGAACGGTAAACATGGAACTCCCAAACAGAAGCGACGCTTGTGTTCACTGACAGACAATGTGGTAAGTTGGGATTACAGGTGGAAATTTAAACTATATTTTTGTCAACCTAAAAAGGAAAACAGCTGAGGCAAAGTAAGAGAAGTAAAAGTTTGAGTCCAGGGCTCAGGATGAAATGCCCAGGTGACACAGAGTCCAGCTGTCTAGAATGTACCCACCAAAAATGGCCGCTGAGCAGGCTAGTTTATGTATCAAAGCAAAGGTCCAGAAGAGGGGAGACGACGTGTTGTATGTTAAGAACCCACACTGGTCCATTTAAAGTAATGCAGACAAGTGATTGGCTACACCTATTCTTTACATCACGAATTTGAGAGCACTGTGCAAAGAAAGATGTGGTCACGCTGTCATAGTTTACAACTCAGTTTGTTTTCTTTAAACTAAAACATGCCTTTTAGGCAATAACTGCCATGTATAACCAATGCCTCATCTCGTGCTCTCTTGGGCTGTTAAAATTTAAATGGCTCTCACATTCCAACTGCTCTGAACTGCCTTGCCTTCGATCCGTGTAGTTTATTACAAACATGAGCTATTGTATGTCCGCCTTAACTCTGCTGTGTCAAGTCATTTCCTATTAAAATTGAATTTATAGACCATGGAATAGGATCAGGATTAGCATATTTGTGAGAAGGAAGGAAAGAAAAAAGCTCCCTGGATTTAATTAAATGTAACATAATAATCCCGCCTTCTCCCTTCTAGACCTGTGCTGTCTGCTATGACAGCCACCAGACACTTGTGGTCACTGAGCATGTGAAAAGCTCCTAGTGCATCTGAAAGATGGAATTTAAAATTTCATGTATTGTTTGTGTGTTTAATTTTTAAAAAGTTAAATCTAAATTTAAAAACCAATTCTCAGTTCAACTATAGGAAAACTTTAAGAATATTTGGAACAACTTGGACAAATGAATCTATCTTTCTCAACCATGAATTTTATAAAACCCAAATATAGATCACATATTTCTGATGCAAATTTAGCATTTGAATTGAGATACAGTCTAAGTATAAAATACACTGGACTTCAGAGAGATAGTCTGTAGAGCCCAGCCACAGTGGCCCAGCAGAAGCACAACCATCTGCAATGCTGGAGGCCATCCGGAAGATCAGGGTTCAGTTCCCAGGTCGACCTGTTCTTGCCTGGCACTTGTGCCCATAATCCCAACTGGTTGGGAAGGTTGGGGGAAAGGATCATAGCGTGAGACCATGTTGAGGGTTCTTGTCTTTCTCTCTCTCAAAAATAAATAAATAAACATATTAAAAATTTCATTAAAGACTCAGTATTAAAAAAGAATGTAACATATCTTAACAATGTTTATATTGACTACACTCAAATTAATACTCTGTCTGTATTGGATTAAATAAAATATACTATTAATCATACCTGTTTCTTTTTACTTTTTTTCTAATGTGGCTATAGGAAATGTTAAATTATATATGTGGGTCACATACTATTTCTATTAAAAGCAGAGTTCTAGACTGAGCCACTTTTGAACCCAAGAAGGAGTGAGTTATGAGGTGCTATGGACTGGAGTGGCCTTCAAGGGTGCACTGTGCTAACTCTTGGAGCCCAAAGTGAGGGATTGGTCAGGCTGAAGGTGGGTTATGGCTGATGAAAAGCCAGGTAAGGTCACGCTGCACGTGTTAGTTGCCGAAGTACAGGCCATGCCTGTGTAAGTAGGGCCGTTGTCCAGCAAAAGCAGCTGAAGTTTGTTTTTCAGGGATCTGAGGGGGAATTCATTTAACTGTGACTGTAAACTAAAGTGGCTGGTGGAATGGCTTGGCTTCACCAACGCAACTGTTGAAGACATCTACTGTGAAGGACCCCCAGAATACAAGAAGCGCAAAATCAACAGTCTCTCCTCCAAGGATTTTGATTGTATCATTACAGGTAATGTGTTTACAATCACTCCATCTCATAAAATTAAATAAAGGCTGCACGTTTTGCATGACATAAACTGATCTATTTTTATATCTTAAAAGCCAACGGAGTCATTTGATTTTTTATTATGAACTCTTCGCACTTTGTGTTAAAAGGCAAAGTCCAGTTTCCATTTCACTATTTCTCTAAAATAAATGTATTTCTTATAGATGTTTGAGATCCAGCCAAGGAAAGAGATATTAGCTCACAGTTACTCATCATCATTTCCTGTTTTTGCAGAATTTGCAAAGTCCCAAGACCTGCCTTATCAATCACTATCCATAGACACTTTCTCTTATATGAACGATGAGTATGTAGTCATCGCTCAACCTTTTACTGGAAAATGCATTTTCCTTGAGTGGGACCATGTAGAAAAAACCTTCCGGAATTATGACAACATTACAGGTATGAGAAGCCTAATATTTTGAGTGGAAAGTTAAATTGCTTTGGCCAAGAGCAACAGGAATAGATGAGTGAATGGTATGGAGGACTACTTTGAGTCGACACAGAGTATTGGAATCTCAGCTCTGCATTTACTAAGTGATCTGTTCTTGACACCTTAATTTCCTCACCTATAAAATCGGACTAATAATACCAAACTTAGAGTTGTTAATAAGACAATGTTATCATATACTCTAGAAACCTACCATAGGACTCTCAGGGTGAAAGAAATTCCCTGCTCCTCTGAGGTTCCTAGAAATCCCTGACAAATGTAAGTCAATAAGAGAAAATGCATACATATTTATTTGAACATATGCATATGTATATTGGAGCCTTCATATTGAAGACCCAAAGATAGAGAGAAAGCTATTTCATTTTTTAAAGACTTATTTTATTTAACCTTATTTTATTTATTTATTTATTTATTTATTTATTTATTTAAATTTGATCAGAGAGGGGGAGAGTGAAAGAGAGAGAGAGAGAAAATGAGATAGTAAGCCATCAGGTCTGGGACTCAAACCATAGTATGCCATGTAGGAATCCAGCACCCTTAACTACCACACCACCTGCCAGCCCCAAAGCTATCTGATTTAATGCTTAGTTTTGAGGAATCAGAGAAAACCATCTAGAAATGTGATAGGACAAAAAGGGTATGAGCCAATGGAAACAGACTGAGGGGGATCCCTAGCAAAGCCTGTCTGTTTAGTGCCTATTTGGCCTTTCTTTTTCTTTTCTTTTCTTTTCTTTTCTTTTCTTTTCTTTCTTTTCTTTCTTTCTTTGTTTTTTTTTTTTTAAAAACATTTTTTTTTACCATAGGGTTCTTGCACTTGCAAAGAGAGAAACAGAGAGAGACAATGAGAGAGAAAGTGAGAAATAACCCTTTGGTGGGGTGACCATGCTGCAATCCATTCTGGCCACATATGCCTATGTGCCTGGCATGATTTTCAAGTCATCAGGTTTGGGACTCAAACCTAGCCTTGTGAAAGTCCAGCACCTTGACCATCATGCCACCTGATGGCCCCTTCTGCTCGGCCATTCTGTGCATCATTCCTTTTTCTCAGGTATGGAACATGGCCCCTCTGGAACTAGAGTTTATAATGAATATAATTAACATCAGGCAAAAGAAGTTAGGGGATTTCTTTATGGCCAACTCTTCTGCAGAAAGTTAGAGCAATATTTTCAGATTGTATGGCTGACTTTAGGAAAAAGGGTTCTGGTTTCTATGTCCCACTCTACAGAAGAGAGATTCTAGTTGTTGTGGCTTGCCTTGCGGGGGAGAAAAAGAAGTTAGAAACAGGAGGGCAGGAGAAGGTCAGAGGGAAACTGCTTCTGGAGGGTATCATTTTCTAAGCTCCAGCAGGATCTAATAGAGTAAATACACAAAATTGTTGGATTCTTTTCTTCTAAGAAAAAGTACAGACCATGAACCATGAGCTCCAATGCAGGTCCAGCCATATCTAACTGAGCAAGCCACCCATCCTCGTCCACTTTCCTTTGTTCTGAACTATAAAATAAGGAGGTTATTTTAGATCAACAAGACTCACATTTTGCTACCCAGACATTTCTTCTACAAAACATTAATATATTGCTTGTAACCAAAAGAGGATTTGTGGTCCAATAAATCTGTGAACTATATCTGTCTCTTGGAGATTTATTGGGTCATCAGAAAAGTCACGATGTATTTTTGCATGGACAAAAATCCTCATAACTTTTCCAACAACCCATATAATACATACACCAGAGGCTCTATCCTTCAGTAAAAACCTATTTCCAATATCTTTCACACTTAATTGGCCATGGAATCTACTTTTTTTCCAAGAAAACTTTTATCTAGGCGATTGCTTCATTTTCCCACTTTTAACAATTTTTAAAATTGTAAGTCATAAATTAGAATGTGAAACTCTCTCTGGACTGTTAACATCAGCTTTAGCTTCTAACACCTTGAAGTTCACTCCTAAGAGCACTCAAGTGTCCTCAAAAGATGTCACACTTTAGACAAGGCTTGGAGGGTGATGATTAGATCTTATCACCCCACTGCTCAAAGGATCAAGACGGGTCTGGGTCTTGCTTGAGGCTGAGGCTGCTCAGGTAAAAGCATCTTCTACAAATAGAGTCCATTTTAGAATCCTTCCTTTTCAAGGAAGAAGGTCACTTCCCTTTCTCCCTAAACCCCCAAGTTTTCCAAGGGACTGCAGCAGGGTTTTTTGAAGTCTAAACCAGATTTGTCTTACTTGTGTATAGCCCATCAGTTGTTTTGAATGACTCTTTAGATGAGCACTTGAAAGAAAAATGAATCAGACATTTGCAGACTTTCAGAGGGCATTGTGGAGTTCATCTTGTCCAAAATAGTATCTTAGTCTGATACTGCTACTACAACAAAAATACCTCAGACTGGGTTATACATGAACCACAGATATTTGTTGCTCACAGTTCTGGAGCCTGGGAAGTCCAAAATCAAAACCCCAGTAGATTCAGTCTGGTGAGAATTTGCTATCTGCTTCAAAGATGGCACCTTCTCTGTGTCCTCACATGACAGAAGGGCAAATACAAGATCAAACAGATTCTCTGAAATGCTTTTATAAGGGCACTAATCTGGAGCAGAGCCCTTATAACCTAATTACCTCCTGAAGGCTTATTGCTTAATGTAACTGCATTGAGGATAAAGTGTTGATATGAATTTTGGAGGACCATAAACATTCATACCATGACAAATATATGCCATGTATATGGTCACTATCTCCTCTCTCACCCTAGAAGACACTGCTAATCATGGTATTCTTTCTTGAAGGAGCCATGGGCACAGAATCCTTCTTAACACAGCTCTGCAGGTAGCCATAATCAAGCAGTTGATCAATTTTGGTACATATGTTGAAATCTAAGTTGCCCTCCCTGATTTAGTCTAAACCCTCATTGTTCAGAAAAGAAAATTGAACCCCAGAGAAATTCAATGATTTTCCCAAGGTCACACAACCAGTTTCCTCCTGAAATGTCATGAATACATCATTTTGCCTATGGGTGGGGCAATTAGTATAAAAAGTTAATGCAGAATTTTTTGCCTCACAATCCCTAGAGCTGCAGCCTGAAGAGCCCTAACACCCAGATTTGCCTTGCCTGTCTTTGGATTTCCTAGAGCCACGCTCCTGCTAAGAGATCAGAATCTACTGATAAATACCAAAGGGATACCAAGCTAGGCCAATGACAATGATCCCATATCATTTTCTGAGATTTCCCAAAATAACTTGTGGGAGCATCACCCATAGCTGTACACCTCTTTCAGTTTTCTCAAGGATTTCTTCTCTTCTGCCACTGGTGACCTAAAGTTTCAGAAAAGTAGCACCTCCTTTCTTTATCAAAGGAAAGAACGGTTATTCTAGAGCAGAAAACAGTTTACGCTTACAGCAAACTAATTATAGGTAGAGCTGAAGGTTGTGCAGAGCACAGTTCTAACCTTCTAGAGTGATTCTAGAACCTTGTGGGATTCTGGCTCCAGCTGGAAACCCTGGAACAACTAACCTCTCTCCAGGTTGGGTTAAAAGTTTACAGACTCTGGTAAGCCTGAGTTTGAATCCCAATTCTACCTTCTAACTTATCCTCTATGAACTTCAGTTTGCTCCTATGGAAAAGGGAAGATAGCAATATCTGTCTCTGAAGATTGTTGGGAAAATGTAATTTGACAAAGCACATAGTAGGTGCTTAATAAGTGGTAGTATTCATCAGAAGTACTACGATTGATTCATGGCATGTTAAGGAAAAGAATGTTTTCTTTCTATAGGAAGTTAGAGGAGAAAATACAGGCTATACCTGTGTGCCCTGAACATCTAGAGTGGACTGGATGTGCTGTGACAACTCAGTGGTTGGTAACAAGGCCCAGGGTGTGAGAAGGCATTGGGTCTTGGAGATCAGCCTTCCATGACCAACCAAGGAAATTCCTTGTTCTTGGGTGACTTGGCCCCAGCTTGTATGTTTTCATACCCCAAAGAGGGCAGCCACACAACTAACCTCTCATTTGTCCCCCAGGCACGTCCACCGTGGTGTGCAAGCCCATAGTCATCGACACTCAGCTCTATGTTATCGTGGCCCAGCTCTTCGGTGGCTCTCATATCTATAAGCGAGACAGTTTTGCAAATAAATTCATAAAAATCCAAGATATTGAAATTCTCAAAATCCGAAAACCCAATGACATTGAAACATTCAAGATTGAAAACAACTGGTACTTTGTGGTTGCTGACAGTTCAAAAGCTGGTTTTACCACCATTTACAAATGGAACGGAAATGGATTCTACTCCCATCAGTCCTTACATGCCTGGTACAGGGACACGGATGTGGAATATCTAGAAATAGCCAGAACCCCTCAGACACTCAGAACACCTCATTTAATCCTGTCCAGTAGTTCCCAGCGTCCTGTCATTTATCAATGGAACAAAGCAATGCAATTATTCACTAACCAAACTGACATTCCCAACATGGAGGATGTGTACGCAGTAAAACACTTCGCAGTGAAGGGGGACGTATACATTTGCTTGACAAGATTTATCGGTGACTCCAAAGTCATGAAATGGGGAGGCTCGTCGTTCCAGGATATTCAAAGGATGCCATCGCGAGGATCCATGGTGTTCCAGCCTCTTCAGATAAATAATTACCAATATGCAATTCTTGGAAGTGATTACTCCTTTACTCAAGTCTATAACTGGGATGCAGAGAAAGCCAAATTTGTGAAATTTCAGGAATTAAACGTTCAGGCACCAAGATCATTCACGCATGTGTCCATTAATAAGCGTCATTTTCTTTTCGCTTCCAGTTTTAAGGGAAATACACAGATTTACAAACATGTCATAGTTGACTTAAGCGCATGAGACACCAAATTCTGTGGCTGCCATCGGAAGCTTTCTACAGTACGTGACCCGGACGAACTCCATGCATGATGACTTCTTACCGCACTTGCAAAGGAATGCCTTTCAAACATTGAGATTACCAGAACCAAGCTCTGCAGTATCTCCATCCTTAACTGTTCAGTCCAGTGGTGTGGGAAGTTACCTTTTATAAGACAAAATTGAATGGTGTAACTGTTCTTTGCAGTGAAGATGTGTACATAAGCGTTTAATGGTATCTGTTACTCCAAAAAAGAAATATTAATATGTACTTTTCCATTTATTTATTCATGTGTTCAGAAACAACTGCCAAATAAAATGTTTACATTTTCTTTCATATCCCAAAGGTAATTATTTACAGGCGTTGTTTGATTTCCATGGATGGTGTGTCAAGGAAATAGTTTTCTACAATAGGGTTATATTTGGAGCAAGGATTTACGGTGTGAATAATGAGTGAGGCTGTAACACTGATATTGATTGCTCACAAGTTATGAGTAGATTTATCTGTGGCTGTATCAGCTGATTTGGAATATGCAAAAGTGTTTCCAATGGTAATGGCTGTTAGGGACATGTAGAGGTGAAATGGTGACAAATGAAAAGAAACTGATCTATTAGAGAAAGACTAATTTGAAAGAGCAAAGATAAGACCCGTCCCTTCTTGTCTGGTAGCTTCGTCTAAGTACATCAGATAACTCATAGGAAAAACTAAAATGAAGATTTAGGATTTTCAAAACTCATTCAGGGACTTTCTAAATGTCTAACTCCAGAATCATCCGACAGTTGCTAGATTGTAACCTTATAGCACTTGCCGCAAACGTACCTGTTACGAGGGCCTCTTAACCCCATCAAGGATGCTTCCCTTCGAGGCACTAATCATACTGTGCTATCGACTTGCTAGAGTGCCCCAAAGGCTCGTGTTTGACTTCTAAACCCTACTCCTGGGTCACAGGGTCTTTAGCACCTAGCACAAGGCTTGTAATAGAGCAGGCTTTCAGAAACAGGGCTCGGATGAAGCATGTGCGTTCTCCTGTTACAATAACAGACTTGGTGAGGTCCTTAGTCCCAATCAGTCAGTATTTACTGAGTACCAGTTAAGAATAGGGTATTGTTCTCAGGGGTGGAGGGACTGAGGAAGCAGCATGTGGACCTTGCTCTCTGGGGCCTTAGATGACCAGCTGTGGGTCCAAACACATAGAGAACAATCAAGGAGTTCCAAGTACCATCTAAACAGTCCAGATAAGTGCCATAGGAGTGTGGCTTCCTGAAAGATGTGATCTTTGTTTGAACTTAAAGGAAAGATGTGATTTCAAAATGGGAATGTGGCCAAGTGGATATTCTTGGTACAACAGTTTTGCACACTGCCTTCAGGGAGGGGATCAGAACTGGCTCCTGCTCATTGCCCCCCAAGTTCTGCAATGCAGCTGTAAGTGGGGGCAGGCAGGCACGGCCCCTCTGCTCAGCCTGGATCTGGCAGCCTTCAGGCATCCAGAAAGGTACACACGATATTTACACTGCCTCCGGGAGGCAACTTAGGGAGTTACACACAGGAACCAGATTCTCGTACCCATGGAGGCAAGGTGTTACCTGACATCAGGGTTAGGGGGGAGAATGGCTGTCACCCACCAGATCCTGCACATGGAGCTGCCCTGCCCAGGCTTTGGTCTTTGAATGTCTTTTACTCTTTTCTTTTTTCTTCTATAAGCAGCATTGCAAGCCCTCAGAGATCACCTGCTCTGGCCAAACTGGGCTTAAGTCCAGCTTCACAATGTCCTTTGCCCAGTGACAAGTTACTTACCCCCTCCGAGCCTCCGTTTCTTCATCTGCAGAAAGGAGCAATACCTACTTGCAAGGACAATGGAGGTCTGACTGAGGTGGTGCACACGCAGCAGACTGAGTTTTCCAAACACGGCCTGGCACCCGCCATCCCACCTGCTCTGGAGAGCCCTGCCCCACTGCATCGAGGACTGGTGCCTAATTCACCTCTCCCTAAATTCAGGAGGCTTTGTGACTTGTGTGGAACAGAGCGCAACCAAATGCGGTAGAAATGATGTGGTTGGACTTCTGAGGCGAGGTCATAAAAACAGTGAATCTCCTGCCTTTTAAGTTGGGACAGTCATTGGCTTTTGGAGCCCTGAGGAACTACATAAAAGTCCTGCTAACTTGAAGTCACCATTCTGCAATGACGCTCAGGCCCCGTGGAGAAACCACACGTAGGTGCTTTGGTCAAAGCCCCGCTGAGGCCCAGCCAGCAGCCATCCTCAACCCTCATCATCAGTCCCTGGTCCTACAAGTGAAGACACCTCTGGGTGCTCCCATCCCCTGGCTGTCAACTCACTACCAGATATCGGATCTTCCCAACTGAGATGACCCGGAGCAGAGCCAAGCCATCCCCGTGGTGTCTAAATCCCCAGCCCATAGAACCTACGAGCATAATAAAGTGGTTGTTTTAAACAGCTGAGCTTTGGGGTGATTTGTTCCATAACTGGTAAAGTGTTCAACCCAGAACTGGCACAACTGCACACCCTCCACATTGCTGACTGACAGACTCCACACCCAGGACATCACATGACTTCCAGGTCATACTCTCATTGTCTGTTTTGAAAGCACATTTTTTGTTGTTGTTGTTATTTGTGATAGAGTATGTGTGCATGCACAGGAGAGTGAGAGAAAAAGAGAGAGGTGAGCGCCTCTCAGAGGGTCTGGTCACACCATGGCCCATGGCCCCAAGCCTCCAACCTCCAGCCTGATGAATCTTGGGCACTCAAATGCATGCCCTTGTGTTTTAGACTGACCAGGCCAGGGATTTGAACCACCCCAGCCATGTGCACATGGCTTTCTTGAGCAGTACATTATCACTGCACCATGGACCTGGCCCTACCTCACTGTCTTAAAGTCATTCACAGTCACTTCGGTTTTAGAGAATAGCTCCTC